TTCTTTACAAAAAATTTATCAAGAAAACACAGAATTGGGCGGTTAATATTTGGTTCCAAAGGGAAAGTGTGCATTATACATTTAAAGTGGTGGTGGGCATCAGCTCGCCCGCGGGCAAAGCTCTTTCAAGCTTTCTATATTAAATTTAGAGAAGAGCCTTTCTGAGCTTGCTGAAGAGGCGGGAATGGCAAATGGCAAGACGCTAAAGACGCGAATGCAGGGAGAGAGTGTACTCTAGAGCCCTTTTACCTGCCAGACGATATAAAATTTACAAAAAACTTTTCGAGCCTTAGCTACATGCTGAGGCTCAAAATTTAATAATATATTTAGCGGTCATTACCATAATGCGTAAGCGCCAATCTATAATAGATAGAGAGATTATTAATACTTGCATACTTTCTGTAAACAGCCAGACCCATTCGGTGGGTCCAGCAACTCCCGAACACCCTTCGTGTGTATATGTACGGTTGTGCTTAAATTGTTGGACAGAGCGTATGAGTTACCCCGTTAAATTTTGAGTCTCAAAATATAGTACGTANTACTTTTAACTTAAAAAAATGAGCTAATTTCACCGCTCAGGACGTTTTATTAATTTCTGAATACGTTCCGGGAGATAACCCGTAACTTTATACATACATACCACATGTATGAATGTGTGGATGTATGTATGTATGTATATATACATATGTACAAAGTAAAATAAAATACCTACAAAAGCCTTAAAAAAGAAATTGCGAAAGCTTTTATAATGAAAGGCTTTTTATATCCATCTGCATACAATATACTTATACGGTCATAAAGACACATATGTACATATGTATGTAAGTACACACGAATTTATGAATGTAATATTATTGCAAATTTTAAAAGGTTTCACAACTTTATCGTTTAACTTCCGTTTTCGTACTGGTTGAGGTACATATGTATGTATGTACATACAAATGTGTTTACACACTTAAATGTGTATCTATGTACATCCGCAGGAAGGCGGGAACCCAATTTGCCACAGGGCGAAGACTACGTCGTTACGATGTCGTTACGACGTCGCTCTGTCGAAGTCGTTTTGGTGAACTCGAAACGACGTCGAAACGAAGTCGTTTTTTCACAACGAATCGAAGTTGTTGCGACGTTGGTCTGGTCAAGTCGTTTGGGCAAACTCGAAACGAATCCGTTTCTTCGAACCCACAAGTTTTTTGAGGAACCTTCCGTCTGGATTGGACAAGTTCCACGCCGCCTACATCTTTTTTTCAGTATTCATAATATTCTTCATATAAAATATTATATATATATATATATATTCATAAAATTTTTGGGTATGAAGTTTTTTTAAATTTGTAAGTAATAAACTGTACTTTTACTTTAAATTTGGTATAAATTTTGAGCATCGTTTTTCAGTTCGCTGGTATATCGTTTTTGCGGGCTGCAGGGGAATCGTTTTTGCGACCCGCCGGTAAAGTTGTGAACACATTGAAAACGACGAGCTACGGGCCACAGATTCCAATTTGTTATCTTCATTATCTAAACGCTTTGTCGATGACGATATGATTTTGAACGCGGCAGCGACATCATCAATTTGTATGAGTTTGACATAAAATAAGAGGAAGAGCCTTATCTATCGCTGGAAAAATATAAATAGATCTAATCTGGCCACAACCGCAGTCGTCACCAAAATAATTATCTACGTAAGACTGCGTGTTAAAATAATTTGACAGTTGTGGTCCGTAGCTCGTCGTTTTCATTATGTTCGGGCTATTAGTCGTTTTTGCGGCCCGCCGACGAACTGTGCTTTTCATCCGACGGCGAGTCGTTTGCGACCGTCGCCGGCGAACAAATTGTTCACCAAAACGAGTCGGAAACGACGTCGTTTGGCAAATTGGGAACCGACACGTTCATGAAGAAATGGAAATGTTCTTTTTGGGCTGCTCGCTTTCAGTTAGATGTGAGCAAATTAATTTTTTCACGTAAATTAATACAGTCATATACACATTTACATATGTATGTATGTACTTGTTTTGTTTGTACATATGTATGTACATATGTATATTAGAGTGGTCCAATTTTTTCCTTTTGATATTTGTAATATCTATGCCAACTTTCAATTTGCGGCTGTAACCAATACCGCGTACTCAATGACCTCGAAATGCGCTGCAGAATCGTTGTGAAACTGGCAAAAATATTGGTGATTTTTATAAAAAGCTACTGTTCCTATGACAACTGAAGCGTGTGATGTTTTTTAGGTAAATTAAATTTGAAATGTACTTAGGTTGCTTAACCAATTGTTTGAATAATATATGTACACAATAGTTGCGTTCCTTAACTCGCAAGAAGTTGCAAGAATTTACAGGAATTTGCCAGAAAGCGTTCCCGTACTCGGTTCTCTGGCTTCTATTGCCTTTTGACAGTTTTACAGGTTTTAGCCCAGAAAAGTTGGGGAACGGAACTAAAACTTCTAGAGTAAAATATGAGCATTATTAGCATCCCCTACATTTATACTTAAGGTTGGTATTCTGTTCACAGCCGTGAAATTTTGTCAGCAACGCATATTGTTTTCGCATGAAATTTTGGCACACCAAAAAATTAACTGATTTGTGTAGTTCAGGGGCGTCTCTAGTGAATGTTTTGTAGGCTGTTTTAATATATCTTTTTTGATTATACGTGCTGTCTTATGCTGTATTTCCACTAGGCATTAAATGGCAAAAATGACAAATGACAAAGTGAGTAATTAAAAAATAATCGTTCATTCCCACATGGCATTTTCTTAAATGGCATAAATTTGTTGTAATTTTAATGCCTAATGGAAAATCGGCATTAGCTTTTCTATATTATGTGAAGTTGAGAGAATCAAGTCAAATATTCTTTTTTGGTCAATTACGATGTTTGATTTCATTGTTTGCAATCCTATTTGTTGTGCGGCGGATGAAATACTAATACAAAAATGCAACTGAAAAACACTTATTAAAATATTTATCTATACTTTTGATATACATACACCGATACAAACCGATAACCGTGGGGCTTGGCACCTCCCACATAAATTTTTCATACTGAATATCTGAGGAAGTGTTCCTGGTAGAGTACTGGAGCTTGGTATGAGTATGTGTACATACATATATGAATGCAATTTATCGCTGAAATGGGGTATACGAAACCGATATCGTAGCCGTTGAAATAGACTGCGGTAACTTTCATGTAAACTTAGATTCTGATGACTCATACCTCCGAATTAGAGTTGGAAATATGAACTGAAAAGCGGGCGTGACACCTTCCGGAAAGTTACTTGGGCGTACACCTGGAACCATTTTAAGCTACTCCTTGAGGGATTACATTTTTGGCTAAGAGACCCACGGCCATAAGCTTAAATTGAAATCAGCGCATAAAAAAACGAGGGAGTCACTTGGAGTGTTCGAAAAGTTTTTTAAGTTTCACTATCGGTTAGGGCAAGGTTTAACCCCTAAACCCCCTTTGGGTTCGCCGCTACTGAATTCTATAAACTGTCTATTTTCGCACAGTTTAAAATGTACATGCGTATTTTAAATTTTCATATTTGCAAGCTTTTTCGCAGCGTGAACAGAGTACTACTTTACTGAGGAAATGTTGTGGAATTTCATATTTATTTCACAGAAATAAATTTTATATGCAATTTGACAGCTTTGCCACGTGAAACGGGAACAGAATACATACTATGCTTTAGAATCGTAAAGTTTGGTACCAGCACTTCTTTCGTCAAGAGGAAAAATTTTGGAAGGTGCCCCAAACCCTACCTCGGAAAAGTTTTTTTTTTCGGACCACTCTAATGTATCTCTACATATATAAAAAAATTGCTAAAATACAAATATATAAATTACTGCGCATTTACTAAACATTTTGTGGGTGGAAAGCTTTTACCTTTTCAGAGTTAACAAGAGTGCGTGGGTCTATGTGGTGTAAATGCAGCTGAAATGAATATATTTTTGCCAGTAACTGAAAGATAACCGATAACATACACCAATTTATGCATATATATACATATGAATGTATGTATGTGTACGAGTGTTTTTGCACGATTCACAGAATAATCGCACACTTATTTTTAGCAAATGAACGAAATTCTGCTGAGCAAATAAAATTAAAAAAAGTGTAATATAATATGTACTTGCATAGGACGTATTGAATCGTATGTACATACATATGAATATACACGTATGTGTGCATCTTAACTTGCATTTTCGCATATAAAAGCATATAAAATTTAAGCCATATCAGACAATGAAAAATTGAACAGCAAAAAAAAAACAAAGAAAATCAAAGAAAAGGAGGAACACAAAAACCAAATAAGTTATAAAAATAAGTCAAGCAGCTAACCAAACAACAAAGTAGTCAGGCTGTTAGTCAGCCAACCAGAAAACCAACCAGCTGACTTGCGACACACTTTGCCGACTTCACGGCGGATGTGACCACAATTGTTGCAACTGAAGTGCTATTGCCTGAGCACATTGGCAAAGAAAGGGAACAAGAGCAGCAGCGGTAGCCGCTTGTAAACAATAAGTGTTGGGAATTTCAGTGTCGTTGGAGTAAAAATCTGCAATTGCCTAGAGTCATATACATACATAGATACCTGCGAGCCCACTAGAACTTGAAGGGTTTATCCAAAAGTGAGAAAGACCTGATACTGGAGCAATACACCAGATTTTACGGACGATGATCTCAGGTTCTAATGAGTGCGTCGGCTGATAAAGAGTTGCGATGAATAAAGTTATGTACCTATATTTTATAATGTGTGTGTCTTGGTGAGATAAGTATCCTGGCTTTAACTTTTTTATTACGCATTTATTGGACAGATATATTTCTTCATTAAAGCGGTCTTTTTTTGTTTTGGTTTTTGTTCTTTGTTTTTGTTCGGAAACAATGCACCGGTACTAAACCCACCGAAGGAATCGTGTTTTGTAAAGTTGAATTCAAAGGCCAACAAAAATAGCTTTCGTGTCCTAATTGTGGATCGTTCGATTTGATTTTTGGGTTGCTCTGTATTGCATTTGGGAATCTACGTAGTTTACTCCACTAACATTTGGAGGATCGTTTGGATTAATTGGCAGCCATTCGTTTGGTGGTCATGGGCATTAAATATTCACCGTTTACCATCATAAATAGTTCTAATTTCGAAACGGATATGTATACATTTAAAATGATTTTTCACCTATCCATACGGTGACCATATCTATGAGAGCCGAATACGGGACAAAAAATAATTTTGCTAATTTCTTCCACACTGTTTTCCCTGAAACAGTATCCTTATAGTAACATCACAAATTTCTAGGATAATTTTCTCAAGATTTTTACTCCGTAAAATTTGTTAAAAACAATTTCGTTAAATTTTAGTATAGTAAAGTGTAATTTTAAGTCGGTAAGGCTCACCACTAATTTTGGGCATTTTATTTATTTTTTGTTGGCGGTGTTACGCATTTTTTTCATACAAAGTATGTTTGTTCAACCATTTTATTTTGAAAGAGAAGCAAATGAGCAGCACTTTCCGCTCGTACTTCATTATATTTAATTTAAATGAGTAACAAAACTGCAAATCAATTTTTTTCTAAAGATTCTAGTTAAAAAGTTTGAAATTTTGGTGAAACATTGCAGAATTAATTTTATAGTTTTTTGCACAAAGTTGGAAATTTGGTATATGTTTTTTTGTTAGGAAAAGAGCTCTACTTTCATAAAATAAACAATAAACATTAAATAAACTAAGGAAAAATTGCCGAAACTTACTAAAATGTCGAGTCCTAATTTGTATTTTGGCCACTGTACATATGTATTCCTCGATTCGAATCACAGGCATTCAGATTAGAAAATAATAACTGTTTATAAAGAAAATTACGATTATATACCAACATCACCTAAAACTCGGTCATAGGCATGCCATTTTAATGAGCTGTTAAGGCGTCGGAACACCGAATACGGGACAAATACAGGACATTAAAAGAAATACAGAACATTTGGCGTCCCGTATAAAATAAATAAATTACCAGGACAATGAATCAAAAAAGAGGACTGTCCCATATAATACCGGACGGATGGTCACCGTACCTATCCATAACCGGTTACTTAGTCAACAGGGATTGCTTTAGATATTTATACATGTATGGTTATACATAGATATGTATGTATATACATATATATGTAAGAAATTTCGGAGGTACGTATATATACATTAAGGTGGACATAATTTGTATGAAAAAGGTATTAGTTTCTTTCGGAACACCTCCAGAAATATGAAGCTACCCAAAAACTATGTAGTATACAAAATTTCTGAATAAATTTGGAGGTTTCTGTTTGAGTCTTAAGCTCGAATTATTCTTTTCCACCCTAGCGAACGTTTGTAACGTAACGCCAGGTAACGTCGCGTCAGATAATTCAGCTGAATAAATATAGGTAAAGCAGAAAAGTATCTACATTTAGAAAATTGGAAAATTCACCTTAAACATTTCCTGTATACTACAAAAATATTCATACAAATAGTCTTGCTCAATTCGCGAAGTTTTGCAATTTTGTAACCCGAGTCAAAATCCACTTCTGTTTTTCGTAACGTCACGCCAGCGCGTATGTTTAATAATATCTTTAAATCCCTACTACCTATAGTTGTAATTTTTTTTTTTATTAATTTTTATTTTTGGAGCACATTGACCTTTGATGGACTTGGGCGAGCCTTAGATATTGACCAAAAATTTTCATCTTTCACGCAGACTTTTTTAGAGCATAATGAACCATGTTTTTGCTATTACCAATCAAAATTTAAAAAAAGCGGATTTCCGGCCGACGCTAGTACATATGTATGTACACAGTTGTCTAACCGACAATAACAGGCCTAATCTGGACGTTACCGATGATTTTGTAACCGGAAAATTTCATTAACAATAGCTTTTACCACTTCTTGTAACCGCAATTCCAGGTACGTTGGTAACATGGTCAATATATTTAGCGAATCAGCTATGAGGTGTTATAGAAATTATGGTATTGCATATTTCACGGAGCAATATTCTATTATCTTCTTATGAGATAGTTACAAAATGTACCAATTACAAGAATGCACAAGAATGTGTAAAGCAAAAATATTTTTAGAGAAAAGAATTTTTGGAAAAAATAAATTTAAAAAAAAGATTAGAAAAAAATAATTTTTAGAACAAAATACATACTCTGTAAAAAATACACATTTTCAGAAAAAACAATTTTTAGGAAAAAGTAGTATGTAATTTTAGGCGAAAAATATTTCTTTAAGCATAATTTTTTGCTAAAAGGCGACACTACTTACTATACATGGGAACAGAGTTTTGAGAAGATTTAATTGTAAAAAAAACATTTTTTATAATATGGTTCAGAAAGGATCTAAAAGTAATTAAATTCTACATACATATATGTATGTAATTGGTAAATTTTGTCTAAAAATTATTTTTAGTAAATTTTTAGTTTTAGTTAAAATTTTATTTCTAAACATTTATGATAAATATAGCTGAATAAAAATGCAGCACATTATAATCACAGAACAATTTAAATTGCTTCACACGAACTCGTTATGAGGAACCATGCTTCCCAGGATCGGGAAGGGGTTAAGACATAAACTTGGATTCAGATTCCATAAGTAAGCATGTATTATGGGCAGTGGCAAAAATATAAATAGGGAAGAGACATTTTAGCAATCTTTGGCTACTTCCCTTTCGGTTATTTAATGTTTATTATTATTCTTAATGAAAGTGTAGCTCGTTATCTAACAAAAACCATGTGNCTTCCCTTTCGGTTATTTAATGTTTATTATTATTCTTAATGAAAGTGTAGTTCGTTATCTAACAAAAACCATGAACAAGTAATTTTTAAGCAAAAAACAAATCCGACTTCAATTCTCATATAAAAATTTAGGAGTACCGTTATTTTTTCATGATCCAATGATCGGATCTAAACCAGATTAGTATGGGACCACCGATGTCAATAGAATTATCGAAATCGGTTGACGTGGTACGACGAATTGATAACCTCCTCCTTTTTTTGAAGTCGGTTAAAATCATAAGCGAAACATAAAGAAAAAACATAAGTCAGACATTGAAGGTAAAAAAATATCTATTAGGCGAATTTGATCAACAACAAAGTTTCAGAAAGCAAATAATGGAATACATTTTTATTTTGAAAGTACAATGCAGTGGAAACGGGATAACTCGCAGGTTCGTTAATTTGAAAATCACAATTGTTTGCAAAAAAGTTGAATCTCTCGGAAATAATTAATTATAAAATATGTTCGGTAGTTTTGATTTTGTTTTTCCAAAGACACTCCATAACTCTTCGTCTTAGTTGTTTACGTCGTATTGAATGAAATGTATGCAAGTTTATTTCTATCGCTATAAAATTGTACATAAAAAATAAAATACCACTACCCACTATTAGCCTGGAAACTTTCTATGTGCTAGTATTTTAGATATCTTCACATTTTATGAGGCTGTCCCTAAGAATATCTATAAGTACATTCTCAAAAGTAACGGCCACCTTATTGTACATACATTTATACATTGTACATCGTATGAGTATTGGTAAATTTGTCATCCTACCTTATCCGGCTCCTGCTTGTAGTGTGGATTCATGGTAGTGGGCGCCGTGACACGGCTATGACCCGTAGCTATGGCGGCCGACGACTTAGAAGACGCCGACATCGCATTGTCCACATCGAAGAGTTTACCATCGACAACATCGCGTTTGCGATTTTTCGACTTGAAGCGACCCGAACGTGAGATTGTGAAATTTCGCCACTGATGGCTGTATTCGCAGCGTGACTCCTCCTCATTCAGGATGCTGTCCAAATAGCTAATCGGTTGCTCATGTGCCGTCATTGTGCTGCTATGTATGTATGTATTCAACTTCTAGTAAAAGTCTAAGCGCTGAACTGTTTTTTCTTTCTACAAATCTCTTTTACTAAGCAATTTCTGTTTGAAACTGACACTTTTTTATTTTTATGCTTTGTTGTTTTCTTTTGTTACAACTATTGTTATCTCGTTTCGCGGCACCTTTTTTTTTTGAAGACTTTATTTATGTACTATGGCCTCAGTTTGTTTATTTTTGCATTTCACTTTACATCAGTTCAAAAGGCATTGCAACATTTACATACTTATGTAAATTTGTATGCATGTACTAGACATTTGTATACACAAACATTTTGCGGATAAGAACCTTACTAATTACCACGGTAACATTAGCAACTATATTAAAATTAATATCGAGTTTCATTTGATTTTGTCCGATATGTAGGCACTCGCGTTAACACACTTTTTTTTTTTGTAATAGAGAGAAAAGATGTCTGTAATTGGGCTGAGCTTGGTTCACAAGAAAACCGTAGTTGCAACAGCAATATCACCAATATATAAAAACAACAACAACATCGATGATGATTGCTGCTGAGTCTTCTGTTGTCTCTGTGCTTTTTATTTGCTGTGCTGAATTCAATGATAGAAGATCAAGATCAAGATCACACGTAGTATTTGTGATGACTTCTGTTGCAGCTGCACTTCTTCGTCTTCTTCTTCTTTTATCACAACTTCTTTGTTTTGCTTTTACGCTCACGTCTTGCTAATGATTGCCGTTGCCGGTGACATCCAACTGTACGGATGGATGGCTGCGAGTGCACTGTACGCTGCGCTTCTGTGCGGCACACCGATGTGCGCTGCTGTGTTGAAGTTTTGTCAAAGTGAGTTGCTTCTCCCCGCGAAGTTCAAAAAATCAAGTCGAATATGCCGATACCAGTTAGAGCAAATACAAAAGTATATTTTTTATATATGTATGTATGTAACAATAAATACATACATACACTTATAATTTATATACACAAATCTACATGTTGTGTTATGGCTGTTTTCCTTTTCCGGGGCCTTCTTACTATTTCGACAACCCTGCAGGAAAAACCGGAAATACTTAAGTGAACTAATTTTAGTTCAGTCTAACTAAATATGTATGTATGTATTACTCATATACGTACATACATATGTATTTATGCTTATAGCAGTGTATAGTATTTAAATTGCTTTAGATTTTCATAAGTTTTGAGCAAACGTGTCATCAAATAACATTCAAGTAAATGCGCTCATTAGTAACGATACACTTAGAACAAAAGTGTTATCGCCTGTGTGCAGAGATAATTTGCTACCGCTGTTTAAGACTAGGTAAACGGACAACATAAGCACTCGGTAGACCTCCACAAGTTAATAGCTTTTGAGAATCTGAAAAAATTCTAATTCACTACCAAATTTTGGGAAATATTTTTCTAGAGAACAAAAGTTTTGAGAACTTTGACCTAAGAATGCGAGGGGTATCTGCGTGTTGGCATCAAAAATCGTTTCAGTGAGAACCACGATTGTCAATTCTATGCCGGAGGATATCTAGATCATTTCAACTTCCAGATCGTTTATCATTACCGTGAACTGCCCATTTAAGGAACAATTTTTCATTTTATGTGCAATAAAAGTTCGTATCTTAAGTCTTTCGTTGACTTTATTTGCATAATTATGTTTCAGTGCTTTTTTGATTAATTTTAATGCTAAAAAATTTTAAACAAAGGGAGCGCTATGAGAAAAAATTTTTTCTCACTTCCTTTTTCGCGAATAGTTCGGAGAAGATTTGTTCCCGTTACATTCTCTGTCAGAAAGTTCCTAGGACGGAGCTTGGAACTTAGAAAATCACAATGAAACGGACTGCGACATGGTATTAAGTTATGTTAAGGTTCGGCTGTTCAATTATAAGCAACATCCCTTTAAGAGAATTTGTAAGGGAGAGCCTGTAAGTTACGTTAGTTTGCCATAATCATACCATAATCAATGTCTGTACATCGTTATCGACGTGATCGACTTCGTAACATAATAACAGGAACTCGAGAACGTCGATAACGATTTTTAACCTGTAGTTAGTGTTAACCAGACATTAAGTAACCGGCCCTAAGGGCCGTTTGCACCATGTCTGGTTATTTCTAACTCCCATTTAAATATCGTTATCGAGACCCAGCATAAAAGATTTGATCGATAAAGATGTGCTTAACTGAAGGCATGGTGCAAACGGCCCTTAAGTTATATTTGTGTAATAAAATTAATCATTTCAATTATCTTAGAACAGAAAAAACAAAAAAATATTGGTGTTGGTGGAGTCGTTTTTTAATCGGTTTTATTCAACTTATCCTATGTGGGTCAAATCTTCTTCTTGTGCCAAATCTAATAATTAAAAACCAAATAGGAATTTAAAGAACCTGAATCTGCATAATACTTAAGTGGCCTATAATCAAGGTATTCTTAAAGTTTCGGACGTTTTGATTGATCCTAGAGAAATTAGATGACCTCATAAGAGGGTTATGGGAAAATGAACGATCCATGCGGTACCTCTTAGGGTCAAAGCATAGTGCAGCGGCGAGCAAAGAGAAGAGCTAGCATCGAGCAAATTTTCAATAACGCTCCTGCTCTTCACTATGCGCTCTCCCCTTGAAACCTATGCGTTTAAAATAGCCGCTTTACTCGATGTTCTTTAATCGCCGCTCTACGATTGGAAAAATTCTAAACCAAAATGAAAATTCCCCTCCAAAACTTAACCAGCAGAAAGTGTTAAAAAGGGAGTAAATTGCAAGTTTTTGCTGGTTTTACATTCAATAACATTTTCTTATAATTTGCTCTTTCCCTCACTTTTCTCTTTATTTTTCTTTTATGCTCTCGCTGCAAGTACTTACTGGAAAAGTTATTGAATGAACCTAAAGCGTATGCGAAGCTTTGGAGGCTCTCACGGCGCCGGGTTTCATATGTACATTTCGTGTCGGCAGTGGCTGCCGGTTATAACGGCTCGTCAATTTTGCGTTTTTGATTTCTAAATCTAAAAACTACTTTAATTTACAGTCTCTAATTTCTTTTTAATTAAAATGGCCTCCATTCAACTGTTTGATTTAACATAGGATTGGTAATGGACCGAGCCATTCCGATCTAAAAATTATCATTCAACTGCGAAAAGATCAAAAGTAATATCAGAGTAATAATATTATTGTTTATTGATTTATGGACAGAAAACTTTCTTTGATTAAAAATACAATATATTTTCTTTTTCCCCGCTGAATTCGGATAATCAGTTTCCGGCACCTTGAGAATCGTGTGTTTTTTTCCTGCTGGGAATATACTTTTAATATTTAACCGAAATACGTACATACATATGTATGTATGTGTGTATGTAGAGTTTGTATGTATTAATGTATGTATGTATTAGGTTGCATGAGAAACGCTCCAACTCGGCTGAACCTCTACACCTCCGCTACACCGCCTTTGCACCCTTGCCCGTTGCCCACCTCACACTCTGTACACCATACGTTATTCGCTCACACCTTTTTCCCAGGTACGTTTACTCCAGCGTGCGTCACAGTCAAATTCAAAGTCCTCGCACCGATCCCCCCTCCGCCTAGTCGCTTTAATTTCCATGTCGCCAATATACAACGTTAAAAGCGTCGCTTTTTGTTGTTACTGCTCTTGTCTGGTGTTTAAGTTGTTGTTGATTTGCCGTGAACTGCAGACCGTGTGCCGGTGTTGTGCATCTAGTAACAACTTCGCCGCGCACAGTGTAATGGCCTAATTAATTATTGATAATACGAGTATTATTTATGTGGCACATAAACTGAAGCGATTGAATAACACAATCACTGTTAAACGATCGTGTTGTTGTCACCTACTAATCGTCCATTCCGTTGTAAGATTCAAAAACAATTAATTGAATTACAAAAGAAAAAAGGAAGATGGTGTGCAACAATATCATTTGGTTTAGTGGAGGTGATCTTTGGGGTACAGTGTACCTGTCGTAATACAAACATACATACATATTTGTTTGGCCGTGGTCACAAAAAGGGAGGACCGACCCTCAATTTGCTACGGCCACTGCACCGCACATGCCAGAAATATACTCCAAGATATATCGTCGCCTGGATAAAAGATTGTTGTATGTCACTTTCGGCAGGTCTTGGGAAATCGTGATTGATGTTTGGGAGGTAATTTCTCAAAAACGCGAAGATATGTACATTTTCTCCAATGTCTCGGAGAATATTAGTAGTTCACAAAATTCTTAAATAATTTAATTTTTCTTGTTTATTGGTAATTAGTTTTGAGTTTATGAAGGATTTTCTTTAGTAAAATTTTGTCGTAAGCGTCATTTGTCCACAATTTGGCAGCCACTTTGTATGAAATACGACAAAACGTGATCAAAATTTCTACTAAATTGACAACACTTTTTACTCAATATCTCGAAAACTAAAGGGGACATCTAACTGATATGATAACACCAATCGATAGATCTTATTTTAGAATAGATAAGTGCATCTATAACTAAAAATCGTCAAAATGGCGCTTACGACAATCTTTCATGTACATATAACAGGAACAGGAATCGAGCGTAGGACCTACTAAGGAATTGTTTGGACCAGGGTTGTTGCGAATATTATTCCGAAATAAAAGTCCTTTCCGGATAATAAACAAACCGCCTGTCCAAATTAAACAAATTTGGTATCATATGAAAGAGGACTGAAATAGCTTTTAAACAGAAATTACGAACGACGTCTATATATACATTTTTTTTTTATAATTTAATACTAAAGAAATTCATATATGTACCTGACACAAAGTTTGTTCTATGGTAATCAATTAAATTTTTTTATTGAAATATTTTTCAATAGGTGGCTTTTCCCGTTTAGACATTTCAGTTTCGAAGCTATTAAAGTCCTCTTTCATTTGATACCAAACTTGTTTAATTTGGAGAAGGGGGTTGTTTATTATTTGGCCAAGTTTAACTGTAGACAAAAATAACTGTTATTTTTGGTCCCTACAAAAATATCAACATGACATGGTAACATGAGCATTTTCCGAAAAAAACATCCATAGATACATTTTATTTATTTTTTTAATTCTATTCTCCATGAGTTCCAATTTTTGTCATATACACAATTTTTAACCACTACTTGTTATACTGTGCAGTTAGGGCACAGTTTCGGCCGCTTTGTTTGTCGGCTCGATCGAGACCGGTTGGATTGGTATTGGTTTTTGTTGGGCCGATGAGAAAGGAGGGGGTGCAGCTGCGGTGGATTTGCGGCGTTTACGGGGTTTTTACTGGCGCAAAGTCTATGTACACAAATTGTTCACGCTGGCTGGCACATAAAGTTATAATAATGCCAGAAAATATGAGGAGTAATGTACACTCACAACTGTTTGTTGCCTCCTCCTCTTAAAGATTTTCAACCTTCTTTCTCTTGCTTATTATTATATCTTTAAAATTGATGTATGCATGTATATTTGAATGTGTTTGTTTAAACTTTTTTGTTCAAATTATGGTACTCGTATTTTCCTGTCTATGGTTTGCAGGCATTTCGCCAGTCATATGTTTTTTGTGTGTTTGTTTTTTTTTGTTGGCTGGTTGGCTGCTTGGTAGTTGGTAGATTTGATTATCTCGAAACGTGTGTATGGATATCTTCTACCTATTTGCTGTTCTTTATATTGCTCAGCTGCAGTTTTTTTTTATTTGTTATATTTTTATACCCGAGCGCACTTGTGCACAAGGGTATTATAACTTTGTTCACATAACGGTTGTTTGTAACAGGCAAAACGAATCGAGATAGATATAGACAAATGTATACATAAATGGTCAGAATGAAAAGAGAAATCGATTAAGCGGTGACTGTCTGTCCGTCCGTCCGTCCGTCCGTCCGTCCGTCCGTCCGTCCGTCCGTCCG